ATCACGGGGCCCTTTAAAGAGCGCGGGGCCCTGGACAAATGTCCCATTTGTCCTCCCCTAGCGCCGGCACTGTATACTGATCTATCACCAACAAACACAACAAAAAACTACACGTGTCTAACATACAGTGTCGTAGTCAGTGGGAGGGGGGTGTTTTTAAACATTGACATTTTTTCCCTAGCAAATGATTAATGAATTATTTATTTTACAGCGTATATAAACAAAAACTGAAAAAAATAATTTTTATTTAACCCCTCCCCCACACTAATCTTATAATGCTGACTATGCCACTACACACACATCATTTAAATTATGAATAATTCTTCAAAATATACACATTATTAATATGGCAAATTTTTTGGTTATGACTTATGACTTATGAGGTTATTAATTAAAACAATATAAGAAAATAATAAATTGTTTGATGGGAATTCATCATTTTACTTGTGAATATAAACATAAAATCATAAACATTTGAACTTCACACGTTTATAAAAAATAAATGTGAAATTCCTGCAGTTAAGTTTTAGATTTTGAGAGGAGCGATCATGTTTTACAATGATGTGAATGCTTCGATTTTCAATTTAAGTAACTTTTCTGGTGGGAAAGTAAATCTAGTATAATCTAGTAGAAGTTATCAAATGTCCTGGAAAAACAAAAAAAAAACAAAATTACCTAAGGAAAAACTGGATTTTTTACTCAAAATGTTTGGTGTAACTCTGAAACAAATTATTGTAGATGCATGAAATTTTCACTGAATATTTATTAGCTGAATAGTATTAGTATTTTCTATAAACCATAAAATGGTTCAAAATATTTTGAAACATGTTTAAGTATTCATACGAATATTCAATTTGTATAAGTTAAATTAAAAAAAATTGTATGCAAAAAACTTGAAAACGTAATACAAGATTCCTTGTAAGTTGTGGTTAGTGGAAATTTAAAAAAAAATTGATGGTGTATCCACAATAATTTTTTATGATTGTTTGAATTTTAAATTTTGACAAAATACGTAAAAATCACGAAAATTTGCAACTTATTTTGAGTTGGAAAACCATAAAAATGTTTATTTTGAAATCTACGATTTTAAAATTGAATTCAATGTTCTCCACAAGATTTTCTACCTTTATCAAAAAAAAAAAATGTACCAGAAATCGAAGTTTGAAGTTCAAATGAATACAACATTGGATCAATGGATCATGACTCGACTTCTCATTAAACGACTATCTTTTTTTGTTGTAATTAAAAAACGAATAACTGTAGATTTTTGAAATTTACTTAAAATATGTTTAATATACAATTTCCTGTACTTGAATTTTTTTTTAAAAATTTTTGACTAACCTACCTACCGAAATTTAAAATTTTTTTCTCTATAAATGTTAATACAATTTTGTTTGTTGGGTCAAAAAGCTTGAAAATTAACACAAGGGCCCTGATATATTGTTACATTAGAAGTTGACAAACATTAAAAATACAAAGGCACGATTTTTTTTTATAAGCATTTAAAGTTCATATTTTGACAAAATGTATCAAATTGAAATTGTACATATTATTTTTTATTTATGTTATGTTGATTTTAGATGTAGGACATTGATGGATCATAGATATTAGACATTTTCATTTTTTCTTAAGTTTTCAATACAATAATAAGTTGTTCTTTTAGCAGTTTATAAACATTCATTTTTAACAAAACCTAACTATTTTCATTTTTTTTCGATTTAAGTTGATAAAATAGTTTCTTAGTCGTCTTAAAAATTTAAAACAAGTTTTAAAAAAATTTGTCACAAACTCACAACAGCAATTAATAATCATCTGTAATATTAAGTCACATACTCTTATATATGCAGTTTTACTGTCTTAGCATTTGATGTTCAGCTTTTGACAATATTCGTTAATTTATCATAATAGTTATTTAGGTATTATTTAATAATGGGTACCTACATAGGTACAATTTCTACATTTATAATTTATAATAATTTTGCATTTAATAATGTTTAAAATGATCAATTTGAGGAACGAACATGAAATACAAAATTTCTCATAAGTAGTTATAGGTATTGTAACCAAAACAAAAAAATACTAATAATTTTGGGATAATACTGTAATAGGAAAATATAATGTAGGTATACCTATTAATTATTATAGTTATGTCAATGCAATAGTTTGCAAAAGAATAAATTCATCCTATCAATACTAAATACTAATAACAATATAAGTACAGCATAAAATATTTTTGACTGACACACCGTTTCTGTTTAGAATCGTTTGGTAGACAAAAGTATACATAATTAAATTCAAATTTAACACATCCATTACAGTGACTCAATCGACATCTACTGTGCAGCTGAGCCAGTGCCCACATTCAGCACACTTTTTTTATTTTATATTTCGAAGCAAAATATTATATGGAGTCAGTAGTATACGCATGTTTTTAGTTCGGTTAGAGTCTTACCTGAAATTAATCACATACCAGTTGGCGGGGGAGGTTCAATTCATCCTCATTTATATACATTTTTTTCTAAACAGTTTGTATATAATTGGTTAAAACCAACTCTATAGAGCTATACTAACTCTATAGTTAGTCTCAAATATTTAGTGTACATTAAAAGAGTGTTAAAGCTGGATCATCTATTGAGACTTACGGCCGTAATAAACGTGGAAGTAATCGATGATACACGATACGGTAATTATAGCAGAATGCAGACGTTAGCATGATTCTCAATGTCATTGCCATTTTAAGATTTATTTTATATCCACTAAAATCAAAGGGTTAAAATCCTACCTCTGCGTACGCCACAGTAGGGAGTATTTTGATCTATAAAAAATCAAATTTCGGACAAGTACCTATATAGTTTGTTAGTTATAATTTATAAGTATTTTAAGTTTCGATAGTTGGAGTAGTGAGCAAATATTTTGTGAGGTACCATGTACGACTACATTCCGCTAATCTAAACGTTGAATACACATTCATGATACAACTAGGTGTATAAGGTATAAGGTATAACTCAACCACTGCTCCTTCAAAATTATTTTTAATACACCGATAAATAGGTACTCCAAAGAGTATTCGACTTTGGAATAATGAATTTAAAATGCTTGTTGTTACTAAAAAATTAAAAAATGTACAAACTGAAAACGATAAAAATGTAGTAATATAATCGGTATACACTATACACATGTAATGATGTAAATGTATTACTATTTACTACATATAAGTAGCAATATGAATATATAATATTATGTATATTTTAGATGTTCAATTTAAATATATATTACAGTAAATGTTCATTTAACTTTTTGCACACTAGGTACCTACTCTGTACTCATCATTATTCTTGTTACCAACCCGTATTGTATTATGTATACTATTATATTTTTATATACGCGCTGCACCTGCCAGTCATATCCATGGCCTATTATATTTTTCCATACTGATTACAGATCGTATTTAGTTGGCATGAACATAATATTTATGTATTACAAGTTTACAACACAAAAAAATATTACCATAAGACGTATAGGCTAAAAGTTATAATATTAATTAGTAATTATTTACCGTTAAAACACTTTAATGGTATTTGTGTCTTTATGTAACTTAGAGGTTTTTTTATGGAAATTATTTCCGAGTCACAGATTTACGTCGTTGGTCTCTTCTTCAAATTTATTTTATTGTTTAATGCCTTAATAAGTATGTAAATCGAACAAACTCTAAAAAGCAGGTAAGTGGAGGTCGTTCTGCTGTACAGTAGGTTATAAGTGGCCAAGTGGGTCATAGCAATAATGAATGGTGTTAAATTTAAATTCAATATTATTAAATTATTAAATATGTAATACAATTCTGAGCGAATACGGTCTGTCAGCCTATAATATTACTTAGTATATACTTTGATGATATTATTGTGATTGAAGTAGGTAATTTATTTTACTATATTTGGCAATTAGTATTACAGTAGGTTAAATTAATTTTTGGCAAAAACAATATTTTTGAAAATTCATGGTATGTATAATATATTTCAGAAGTTTGAAGTACCTACGAATAATATTTTTGAATAACAACAAAATAACTTAAATTATTTCATATGCCTATAAACAGTTCAAAATGAGTTAAAATATTTTGAAAATTCTATGAATAGAAAATGCTATTAACTACATTGTAACAGTGAAAGTTTCATGTATCTACGGTAATTTATTGTAGAGTTACATCAAAAATCAAAATCGATTTGGTTGAAAACCGATTTTGCTCAAAAATTCCCGTTTTTTCTTGATATTTTTCATGCCAAATTGATTTTTTAAGTGTTATTATTTAAGTTCATTTAATAATCAAATTGTATTGATGCAATTTTTGTGAAAATTGAGTATAATAGATGTATTTCATTAACATACATAATGAAAATATACATCAATTGAAATAATTGTGAAAAAATTATGCATCATAGTGTAATATTTTATATTATTTTCAAAAAAGAAAAAAATTATTAATTTAAATATTTCCACTTAAGTACCTACTAGATAATTTTTATTTTTAATTTCCATTAAAACATACACTTATTGTATTTGATTTTCCATTATTCACTCAATAAAATATAAGTAGAAAGTTAAAACAGTTGATTTTGATTGAATAGATGTACCTATTATTACTTACAGGGTACAGGGTAAACATCTTCATATTATTTTATGTTTTTGTGATGATAATAAATTGTAAAATATTGTTACCGATCGACGTAAATACGTCTTTAATGATACTTCCAAGTTTCCATTTACAATATATTATATGAAATAATATTTATTATCATAGAACTGGGCACGCGCGGTCGAGGCGGTAGTGGTTGTCGTGTACCTATGCTCTGCACGGCGCCGGCGCCCCCTGCAGATAAAAGCAACCCCCGCCGGCAGCACACCCGCCGCCAGTCCAATGGTCGGCGTCGCCTCGTCCACGCCCGCCGACGCCCGACGCCGAAGTACGATCGTCACGACACGCGCGCCACCTCACAGTCCTCTGTGCGAACAATACTTTCATCGTAAGGATCTTCGCTCGAGCAGTCAGCGGCTCCAGTGTGTCGTGCTATCGCTGTGGATCAGGAGGTGCTTTGAACACACGCGCGCGCGCACTCACATACAGACCGTGGCTACAGGTGATTAGACTATACCATATTATTATTATGTTATAATTATTTTACTTTTATTGTTGTTGTCGTTGTTGTTGTTGTTGTTGTTGTTATTGTCTACTGCAGCGTACTCAATACTTCACATACGCGCATATTGTATGCAGTATAATATTACAATGAACTGTCACAATGCTGTATGGTATAGGTACATCCACTACACGCCGTATTGCCTGAAAGCCGACCGACGACCATGACCGGGTCGGACGACAACAACGGCGATTCGGACAATTCCGGCGCCGGGGTGGGCGACGACAGCGACGGAAGGGCCCGGCATCGCAACCAGATTTCGGCCAGGGCGTTGCTGACCTCCGCTGCCGCGACGCTGCTGTGGTGCGTACTGTTGGCAGCCTTCGTGCCGCAGCCGCATGCTGTGGCCGGAGCTCAGCTGTACACGAACACGTTCGCTGTGAGGCTACACGGCGACGTCCGGGACCGTACCGGGCACGTAGACGAGGCGGTGGCCCACAGGGTTGCCAAGAGGGCCGGCAGTGGGTTCGAAAACGTCGGCAAGGTACTAACGTAATATATTATGCACAGTATAATAATGTATAATTACCGCGTTTAAATAGTATGAATAATAACCGTACAATATTTTGAGATTATTATTATTTAGTAGACATCCACACGAGTATACTCATCACGACCAGCTCATTGGGTATCATTATCAAATATCAATATACTTGGTCGTTTAGGTGGATGCAGTGTATACGAAGTGAGCACTCCGCTGTGGGTGTACGGCCACATACACACTCGCGTGGCGCAGGTTATGTCTGACTTAATGTATAAAGCTGCGGGTAACCCCCACACCCTTATTACCCTTAAAGCCACGTTATGACCATTGACCAACGTATGTTATTAAATTGTGTGTCATAATATTATTATACTGTACATAGGTGCTTCTTAAAGGTGCATACTCGTGGATAAAATTATTTTACAATTTATCACTATAGGCGGAAATATCGGAATTTTATAATACCACGAGAACGACACGATTTGAAGGCAATTATATAATTATTTGTACATAAATATTTAATCTTTTCTTCTAAATCGATTAGAACCGAATTTTCAGTGCCATCTGCGATAAATTATAATATCATGGCTTTGGGCGAGCATCAGGTGTATTTTAATTAAATACTGCGGAGGAGGTTAAGGGTAATATTCCGGCGGGTGGGTGAAGAGATGGTGGTATATATCATAATAATATATCGACCGCTGGTGGCTGAGGTGGCTTGAGTGGGAAAACGGAGTGGGTCGAGAGTTTTCGGAAAAGTATACAAGTAGGTGTAGATAGGGTGCGTGGGAGTGCAGAGGGGCTGGGAGTTAAACGCGGCTGTCGCTAGTCCTACTGACGTCATTGCACCCGACGGGATTTATATTTTATTCAATTTCAAAACATCGTATTTTTATATTTATATATCTGTAACTCTATTAGACGGCGGACATATTCAATTTGGAGATGAAATCCTATATTATTACAATATTACATTATGATTAAATTGATTATACACCTATATACTTTGATGTTTAGACGGACGGTACGAGTATAAGACTATAATTATTTATTATGTCTGCTATAATTTATATCATGGTCAGCATCCCGAGTTTCATTCAATTATCAGAGCTGGTTTTTGAAATGAAAAATATCAACCCTTATTATTTTTATGTACACACACACTTATATATACGAGTACATATTAGATGGCAGTCGGGTTACTGGCGATGATCAGGGCTTTACGATATTGATTGATGGACGTGTGGGTCGGTACACGTCAAAACAAATATAAGTGATGATGGTATATATTTTAATGGCCGTAGCGAAAGCTTTTATAAAATTACAGAAGGTTCAAGTTGTTTAGTTGAAGAGGAGTTGACATAAATTAATTGAATGTTAGTGATTAAATATTCCCTTGGTTCTTCAATGTATTATACATAAAATATGATATATAAAACTATAATTACACGAGGATTTAATTATGGGATGGATAAATTACAATAGGTACGATAGCTAATATTAAAATATTATTTGTTTTTAAAAGTAATTAGTAAATGTAAGTTTTTAAACTTCCGGAACTTCGGAAGAATCACCTCTAGTCCTTGTGCTATAAATGTACATATACTAGCTTTATACCTATAATTTATAATATATTGTTCATTATATATTATCATATTATTATTTATTTGTTTGTATATAAACGATAAATATAATGTTATGGAGGAACTATTATACGGTTCTATTTATTTTCAGGTTATGTACGTTTATATCGAATATCGATTTTGATCTGTGATGAGAAATCAATACAAATATTAAACACACCATTATAATACCATATTGTAGGAAAACTATTTACAATCCAACATTTATCTTATTCTATTTTAATTTATATTTTGTTATAAATAATTCACGTCATTATTATTTTCATTTGAAATAAAATGTACAATACCTACCTACTCTTGTCTTATCCTAATAGACTCAGTGCTTACAGTCCCTTTTATTTTTTAAACATATTTTAATACAACAACCTTTTATAATACCCGTTATATTAATAGATATTTGTGGCCAGGATTCTTATTCATCATAAGACATTTAAGTATTCAGGTAGGTATGCATATTTTTTTACACTTTTGCACCCCCTTTATAAGTTTTTCTTTTTCAAATATCGCCTCTAGTATATTGGTTAAGCTTTCTAAAATTGATACGTTTAATATAATACAAATTGAGTAATGTATCTTTTTTTTTTAATTTTATATTTTATATTTTTATTATGATTATTTTTAATAATGCAGATATCCATGCATTTTTGGTTTTGTGTTTATGACATCTTTTAATACGTTCATAGTTTTGCCATCAAAAACTTTTAGTCGGTTAATATATTTTAAGAGAAACTTATCTTTAAGACTTTTTCACTAAATCCATAATCGTTTGGTTCGGTTTAATGTTAAACATTTATTTTAGTTTTTACTATATTTTAATTTATAGACAGGCTTCATCAAAAGTATTAAAATATTTTTTTACCTGCATCAGTGAAAAAAAGTGCTAACGAAAAATAACGAACACTACTTTTAATGTAAAATTAATGTAGCTCCTTCACGCTATTTAAAATTCAAACGTATGCATATTTTAGTATTCTATAGAATTAAAAATGTTATAGGTGCCTATACCTATGCATAAATATGCTGAAGAATGATTGATTTTAAAATAAAAAAAAAATGGGAGACAAGTCATTCATAATTATAGCTCAAATTATGTTATTTCTAAATGTCTAATGAACAAAAATATAAACTATGATGGTAACTAGTTATAATTACATATATGCGGTAGAAACTGTTTACAATGACACCGGTTGTAGTGACATATCGGGTGTAATGACCTTAGATTAAAGGTCACTGCAAACTCCTATATTGTATGCAGGCGTGGGTACAAGAAGAGGGAGGGGGCTATGGGGGCTGAAGCCCCCCTAGGCATTATGTAGGACATAATTACTTAAAATATTTCAAAGATTAGACTTAAGAAAGACTTCGTATTAAATACAAATCGACATGCGCAAAGAATAAGGGAGTGCCTAACTCACTTTTATAATTTTTAACACATATTGAAAAATACGATGAATCAAATATTATTAAAGCTGCGATGATATTATGTAGTGAAGATTAGTCAAGTTAAAAAACGGATACATAATCAGAATATCAATCTGGAATAATAAGTGGCGCAATATTCAAACTATGAAACCAGGTACGGTGATCGAAACTTTAAAACGATATGATGAATTTTTCCCTATTATAAAAACATTATTACATTTATTTGCTACCATACTAGTTACCACGGATAGTTCCGAGAGAAGTTTATCGTCATTTAGATGTCTAAAAAATTATTTGAGGTCAACCATGGGCCAGGAGCATTTGAACGGCTTAGCTGTCTTAAACATTCCTAAAAAAATATCTGTAAATATTGATGAAATGATTAATAGATTTTCAAGACCATCTAGAAGAATAAAAAAGGAAGCTAATGGTCAAATTAATTTGTTATGTTTATTAAAGTTTGTTATTATTAAATATATTTGTTTTAAATTATTTATTAGATTTAAAATGTGACAGCATATTATGAGCATGCTATTACAAGTTTAATAAGTATATAATTAGATAATAACGGTTTTACATGTTAATAAAGTATACAAAACAAACGAGATTATGGTTACCGATATTACAATACAAAATAGCAAGGGAATTAAATAAGATAATTTTAATGAGGTTTGTGGATAAGAAATTTAATTTTGGAGGTAAAGACTGTTATGGGAATTTTGTTGTGAGTTTGTTTAAAATTACGGTTTTGCAGAGAGATTAATGGGTTTAATAATGTTTTGAGTTTGTTCAAAATTGTTGACGTTGCATATGGAGTCTAGATGTTGGTTGAGCGACTATTAGAATTATTACATAAACTCTTATAATAAGTTCATTTTTTTGGGGGGTTCCGGCCTTTAAGCCCATCCCGTGCAACAAATATTCCTCCATGGCTCCATCTCTCTCTATCCTTTGCTACTTAATTCCAGTTCGCTCTTAGAACTATTGCTATCACGCATATATTATAATGAATATTGTATTCACTATAAAAACTTGAACATAATTCCCATTTTTATGTAGATACTTAAAGTACATTTTTTTGTCGAGGAAAAAAAGGGTGGATAAGCGGGTACTATTTTGCTGTACACCATAATAGTTGTAGGGATGTAGTAGTAATGGATGTTTGAATTCAATGATAAATTAATGCATACGAAAAAAGATTCTGAGCGGAGACATTGTGTCATGCTTGTAATACTTACATGAATAATGAAATTTAAAACTTAAAAAAAAATTAATAAAAATTAAAAATGTGTGATGACCATAAATAGCGTAACTTTTTTTTATATCGTTAGAGAACTTTTATGAATATCTAACTGAAAAATAATTTAGAAAATTTTTTAATTTAAAAAAATTTCTTATAAATATTCTATGAATAGCTCTGCCAACTTTTTTTGTGTAGGTTGTAAAATTTGTGTGGAATGTTCCATTAAAATGTCTAATAATAGAAATGGAAAAATTTTTCTAAATTTTGATGAATTTTGTAAAAATTGAACTTAAATTGCATATATAAACCTCTCGTGCCTATGTATCTTTAATATTTTTGAACTTTCATCAAATAAACTTAAACCTTGCATTCAATTTGCATGCTTTTTTACTGAGTGAAAAAGTTTTTATCCTGAATAGTTTTAAAAGATCATATAAATTTGAAAAATTTCTCAAGGCAATAAATACCTCAAAAAGAGATAACACAAATTATTGCTATAAATACAATAAAAAAGCTCAGACTTTTAAATTAAGGAAAAATTATAATTTTTAAGCTGAATGATTTTTGACAAAATCAATTTTGTTTGTTTCGTGTAACGCAAAAACCAATAACCGTATATATTAGAAATTTTCACCTAATGTTTATAAATCCAATTTTTATATAAAATTTAAAAAAATCAGATTTTGTGGGGGAAGAGCTGTCAGGGTAACATGAGTATGAATACCATAAAATAACTAAAAAGTAAACGCATTATGTATACCACAATTATTCTAATAGAATTGATGTTATACATATATTAATAAATGTTTGTTATATAGGTATGTGAAATAATAGTTTTCGAATACAATTTTAGGTGGAAACGCTGGGTTTAATAATAAATATTTATTTTAAATATCAACCCGTTATAATTGAAATATGAAACAATATTTAAATTATTCCATAATCCTACGGCACTCGTATACTATGCCGTTGCCGAAGGTTACGTCACTTGAAAATATACCATGCCCATCATACAGATGCCAATATAATTATTGTTTTTAATTAAATAACTGAAATTTAAACATATTTTTGTATGTGCCTTTTGAACATGTTTTGGACAACATTATTCATTAAGTTGGGCAACTGGAATGTTGAAAAATATTATATTTTCTATATTATTCTTAAATAGTATGATCTTTATATTTGAGTAGGTATTGTAGTTTTAATTAAATTTTATCAATGCCAATTATAAATATATTTCTCAATAATATATTACAGATTCGTGGTACTAAAGATGAATTCCAATTTGTGCATCATGGATTACCAAAAATACGTGGCCGCCGTTCTCTACCTTCAGTTTTACTATTGAAGAAGGATCCATCAGTAAGTACATAAATGAAATCCTATTAATAATCAATGTACATAAAATTATTATGTATAATAAGTATATAGTGTATTTATTTTACACTTTGGATTTCAAACTCAAATATATTATATTTATCAATCTATTATACAAAACAATAGCAACGCTGAACACATAATAATTAAAATCGCCGTGGTAGTTTTCCAAACTTATCAACATTTAAAAATAAATAAGAAAGAACAAATGTAAACACAAAATAATTTAAATACGATTCAATTATTTTTGTCTTCATTATTTATTATGAACATAATATGTAATATAAATTGTATAAACTATTTAAATATTAAGAATAAAATAAATCTATTCCAACAAAATCTATCATACATTTGATCATATTTTATTATTATACTAATATACTGAGAACTACCATCAATAACTTAGGTATTTATTTCTAATAAAATGTTTGAAAATTGTTCTTAAAAATAAATTTAGATATCCGGAATTTATTGTATTACATAATTATTAACTTATACATTTTTAGTTTTCTTATACACATAAACACAACATTGAAACATTAAACCGACGTTGTATAAAAATTGCATATACAATGCGCCGTCTTACAAAATAACTTTTTTTCTTTTTGCATTCCTATTTTCTGTGTTGGTACAATAATTATTGTTTATACCATCCACGTAAGATTAAGCATTTTGGTTTCCTTATATTTTTTATTATTAATTTTTATTCACCTTCATAATCGGTATGTTTGCGTTATTTCAATAACTATTTAGTGGCTTTTGGTATTATGTTTTCATATAGAGATTATTTTCTTAATAATCCAAAGACTACAGCACCTTCACTTGAACGTTCTTAATACTGTACCCTACTTTCCTAGGGTTAATGGCCTGACCTTGGCCTGATTTTGTACAAATAGTAATATTATGGACACAGTTTTTAGAAGGATATGTAATTATTTTAATTAGTAGTAACTATTTTTCTCCTTATCTGAAATTTAAAGCACAAATTTTAGTTTTTATCATAAAATTATGTAAAAAAGAAATGCTTCAGTGTCTGTGATAAGCACCATGTTGAATTCAAATACAATATATTTAAATTTTCTCTAAACACAATAATATGTTCTATGGATGATGGTGATGACGTCCACGTATTTACAACTTTGGTATAATAATTTGTTATATTACCATAATATATTATTATATAGTGTCTATTAAGTGACTATCAATATTCGCTGAATATGATCATTAATCACTATTATTGAATATTATAAACCACTGTCCACAATATACAATTATTAGTATATTATACTATCAACATGTTGTTACTACCGGCAGGCCAAATCAAGGCTCGCGTTATGGACTCGTGCGCTTGCGTCTTTACATTTTAACTAATATAATGCTACGTGGTAACAATTAATTTGTTGTCTATCACTGTTGGTGTACGGTGTCGGTGTGTTATTGTGTATCCGTAGTGATAGACTTGTACCAAATGGGGGAATATTTGAGGATTTGGATGTTCAACAAGACAGTTAGTTAAACCGAGTACAGTTTAAAGCATATTTAAAATAAAACAAAATGTAATATAAATTATTTTACTTTACCGATGACCTGGCAGTAACAATACACGGATCAGGTGGTGAAACGAAACTCGTTCAGTAGACGTATGTCTAGCAGGCCGAATGATTATTATAAAACATTTTGTTTTCTAGTCAAAATAGTTATACCTTTATATGGCTTTACTCCGTGATTACAGAACGAATGAAAGATGATACGAACGTCCGTCATATATGCATAGTATAATATAATACTATAAGTAATATTATAATTATACAAATATGAAAACCGTAATGGTGTTCCACGCCATTACAATAATAATACTTAATAGGTATCATTTCTTTTCCTGATCTTTATATTATGTATCGCAATATTGTACGACTCTCGACTCTCTCATCGTTGGCTTTCCCTAATATGACGTATCACGATTAGGTACACAGACTAATTTACATTGAATTTTACTATAGTTTATAGGCTTTTCCCTGATTAAGTCCAAGTTTGAACTAGATTCAGAGGTTTGGGGTCCCGCGCGGGACTATATTTCTTAAGCACCCCTATAGTTTTTATTTTCAATCTTGATTTGGCTCAGAATTAATATTTTCATTATTTCATATCTGTTGGTGTAATTCTTTATCATAAATATTTTGTTAATATAACTGAAAAGACTAGTGTCCCCTTTTAAGAAGAAGCCACACTCAAGTTTGTTGTCTCTGTCCACCGAGTTTGAAGAAAATCGTGTTTGTTTCTTTACAGTTATAATATAATATTAACATACAATTTTAAAAACTTTTAATGTCACTCATTTTTTAAAAGTAAAAATAATGGAAATAACTAAATAAATGTATATAAACATTTTCAGGTTAAGTCTGTTCATCAGCAACCGGGATTCAAGAGAGTGAAACGTGGGTACAAAGCATATATCCCATCTTTATACTTGAATAGAGATGAATTTATTGCAAGTCAATATAGAGAATATTCTGGTAAACCAATTGAAATCGATGACGATCTGGATCGTTATGGCAAGTTACCAATGGATCCATTATTCAAGGAGCAATGGTATCTGAGAAATACAGGACAAAACGGTGGTAAACCAAAATTGGATTTGAATGTACGAGCCGCTTGGGCTCAAGGAGTATCAGGCAAGAACGTAACTACAGCTATAATGGACGACGGTAAGAAAATGTCTTAGTTTTTAAAATCAGCTAAATCAAAAAAAAAAATGTCAAATATTTGTCATAGATATTCTATAACAAATACACTTTTATTTAAATAAATATCGAAAATTGAAGTTTCTATTTTTTCTAAAAATGTAATTCCTGATCTGAAAATAGATTCCTATTTTTTTATGTTAATTTTGGATTTTTGATATATGAGCACATAACTCTCTCATAAACATTACATATATTATATATATTTATCTTAGAAATATTTCAAACTAAAATTGAAGTAAGTTCAAACATAGCTTATGTAATAAAATAAATGTATAATAATTATATGCTTAATAAAAATTGGCAATAACTTACAGACTTACAGTGTTACTTTAACATTATTAGCTAGTCAAACTATTATCGTACTTATGACTTTCAACGAATTTTATATAGTCACTAACTCACAAATATAAACTTAAATTTCTTTCGATTTAATTTCTAACTTCCATTGTATTTTATAAATATTTTTCTAAAAAATAATATACTATCTAATTTTTCTAATGTAATACTGTGTGTATACATTAGTAGAGTAATTTAATGGTTGTTAATACCTAGTCATACAACTGTAAAAATCATGTTATAGTGAATAGTTGTTTTGTTTTTCTTTTATGCACAGGAGTGGATTATACACACGAAGATCTAAAATATAATTACGTGAGTAGTATAAAATAAAATCTACCTTGCTTAAAATATTAAGACGGAATTCATGCAAAAATATAGAACTGTTTCATGTTTGTTAATGTATTATGCGAATACACCAATAACTGTCACCTGTCGACTATTTTCACATATCCAACAATTCCAAATCATATCTTATGTTCTGCATACACTGTATTTATTAATACTATGTCGTTTAGAATGCACGAGCTAGCTACGATTTCAGTTCAAATGATCCCTATCCATATCCGAGGTATACCGATGATTGGTTCAACAGCCACGGTACACGTTGTGCCGGGGAAGTTGCAGCTGCACGTGATAATGGTGTTTGTGGTACCGGTGTTGCATATGACTCAAAAATCGCCGGTAAGTGATTGGATTGGTTGGATTTGGATTTATAGAAAAATCGATGAAGCAATACAACAATACTTAATGTTTGTATTGTATATATTTACATTCTACATGTTGCGTATCTACTGTTGATTGGGGGGAGAGGGGAACTAAGTAGACATATTGTACGTTTTCGAGTTGAAGACTTTACTCTGCGATATGCTCGCATATTGTACAATATATTATGGTTAGGTACTGATTAAACTAGTTCATTTAAAAAAAAAACTAATTTAGCTTACCTATGTTCTATGTACCTAATATATTAAAATCGTTGCAGGGATCCGGATGCTCGATCAACCGTACATGACAGATCTTATCGAAGCGAATAGTATGGGCCACGAACCAGATTTGATTGATATTTACAGTGCTTCTTGGGGACCTACGGACGATGGAAGAACAGTCGACGGGCCTCGTAACGCCACTATGAGGGCTATAGTCCGCGGAGTCAATGAAGTGAGTTATACATAATAGTTCAAATTTAATAATATAAGCAATAAACATATATTATAAAAGTATATATTGTAAACATAGCAATTATATTATACATGATATGTAAACATTATGAAAAAAAATTGTGGCATAGTAGAATGTGTCTTTATAAAATGTTAACTATTTTTTTACATTAAGATAACAAGACACAGGGGTTTTTACTATCATAAAATAGCTTGATAGTGGCTTATGGGGTATACATTATACCTGATGAGATGAATGCAAATGCACAACCAATTGGGGGCATAGACTCTAAATTATACATTGAATAATAAGTCACGAAAAATGTTTTCTTCAATGAGACCCAAAATTTGATAAGTACGTGTGTGTATGCTGCAAGATGGTTTCTTAAATTAACCAAATGCTTAGATTTGTCACACAATTTAAAGAATGTTCTGTGTCGATTTCAATTTTTTTTTCAATTGAGAACCAACCTCTTTTACCGTAAATTATCAAACTAATTGTGTAGGTATCTATATACTTATAAATCTAAATAATTTAAAATTTAGTCACTAATATCAATATTTAGACAAATATCTGTATTAAAAAATTCCAACAATCAAAACTATAAACAAAATGCGATCATATATTTTTTGACATTCTTAATTGCTGTAAAAACAGTTTCAGTAGAATCTTGTACCTATTACATTTTTAACACGTTTCAATTCAAAAACAAAATGTTTTCAACATAAATTTTAAAAAGTTCCAAATAGTCTAAAATTTAAAATGTCTACAAATAGTTCAAAAAGAGACAAAATATTGAAAATTATATCATGAATACAAAGCTTATATAAATACGTGGTGAAATATTCAAATACCTATTCGTTTATTTCTTAAATTACCAGAAAAACATGTTTTTAAATTTTTTTAATATATATTTTGATTATTTTATTACAATTAAGTCCATTCTTTTAGTTATTATACTCAGATATTTATAATTTTAACCATTTATAAGAAGATTACGATAGTCTATATTTATACCTATAGATTATAGACTATAGCATCACTATAACTTACTTTTTTGGCTGTTCTTTGTTTTTCGATTAGTGATTAGTGATTACACAAGTTATCAAGTCATCATAGTTTATCACCAAATAATAGGTACTATAATAGAGCTACTTTCAGCTTAAAGCGTGGTCATACATAAATTACCGTTTGTATTTTCATCCTATCAGCAAGATCATATCATATGTAATATTTTTAATGTTTTGATCAATTCTAAGAAATCATATATTATGTTTGTTAGATATTAATGTTAAATCATTTTTTTCTATAAAAACTTTTTCCTAGCTAATCCAATATAGATATTTAACGATAAACACATTTTTAAGGGTCGTCGTGGGAAGGGTAATATATACGTGTGGGCTAGCGGTGATGGTGGAGAGGCTGATGACTGCAACTGTGATGGATATGCTGCTAGTATGTGGACGATATCGATAAATTCAGCTATAAACGATGGACAAAATGCTCATTATGATGAAAGTTGTTCAAGCACACTAGCATCAACTTTCAGCAATGGTGCCAAAGATCCTAATACTGGAGTAGTAAGTATTCTGTTTATAACAATCTTATAACAATAATCATTGATATAGATCTATAAGTTAAATTTCAATCACAGTAATTGTGTATCGCTTGCAGACTAAAGTTTATTGCTTATAGATAGGTACATTAATTAAATACTTCTTACACACACAAAAAAAAAGAAAAATCTTTATTTGATTAAATTAATAATAATTGTAGTATTTTAGCGAGTATAATGCAAACTGTATATCTAGTTACAACTTAGGTACAAATGTACAATGAATAATTATTAAAAATTAAAATCAAGTTGTAAATAAATGTATTATATTCCGTATATATACTATATTGGTAACTACTTTTTTACGTTTTTTAGGCGACTACAGATTTGTATGGTAAATGTACTAAATCTCACAGTGGAACATCTGCTGCCGCACCTGAAGCTGCAGGCGTGTTCGCTTTAGCCCTGGAAGCAAAGTATGTATATTCTATTCTAATATAGTAGTATTTTGTTAGTATAATACTTTATTATGTACTACTTTATTATGTACTACTTTAATCTTAATAATTATAATATATAACCATTGTGTTTATTTATTTTTACATTTTGATTTTGGTTATTAATTACTACACTTGTGAACATTTAACAGCCCCGATTTGACTTGGAGAGATATACAGCATTTGACCGTATTGACTTCAAAACGGAATTCTTTATTTGATGCCAAACATCGATTTCAGTGGACAATGAACGGCGTGGGCTTGGAATTTAATCATTTGTTTGGCTTTGGGGTGCTTGATGCTGGAGGTATGGTCTCACTTGCCCGACAATGGCATACTGTACCCGCTAGATATCATTGCCAAGGAGGATCACATACAAAAATCAGGTAATCATATTTTTGTATAATATATGTATATACATAATCTCTACAATTCAACCTACGTTATTGTTTGTAAATTTTATTTCTTATTTATAGCATTTATATATTCAGTTAATACTCAAATAATTTGTTTTATAAGATTTAGTTTGGAACTTTGGAAGCAATACATATTTATTTATTTATTTTATTTTACAATACGGAACGAACCCTTTAATACATGAGTATAATAGTATAATAATAATAGTTTTAATAGTTTATGGAAACGTGGCTCAATATCAGAGAGAGAATGAAGGGTCAGTGTTGGCAATGCGCATAAGACGGATGATCGGTGAGTTAAGATAGTAGTTTGAGGAAGAGAAAGGTATATGAAATGGAACAGATGATCGTGTACAGCGAGAGGGGACCTTAAATTAGACACGGGATAGTAATTCAGGACTATCAATTTTAGATGAAAGAAGATTGGATAGAAATGTCAGGTTAGCTGAATGACGACGATCGGTGAGGCTTTCTAAGGAAAAGAGGCGTTGGATTGGCGTGTAATCGTGAGGTGGACAGACTATCTTTAGTTTGTAAGCAGCTTGACGGAGGAATTTTCTTTGAACCCTTTCTATCATGTTACGTGCGGAAGCGGTGGACGGGTCCCAGAGGACGGAACCATACTCAAGGATGGGACGGACTAGGGAGCAGAAAAGAGTTTTTAGAGGGGAGAGCAAGTGGAAGTCAGAAGAGACACGGTTTATGAAACCAAGCAGTTTAAGAGCCTTACAACATATTATCTGAATATGCATATTAGGGCACAGGTTCCGTGTGAGAGTAAATCCTAAATCCTTTACATAATTATTACAGGCTGTTAAGGCGGTATTGTTTACGGTGTAAATATGTTCGATTACAGCATTAATACGACCAAAAGTCATTACTGAACATTTAGCTACATTAAGAGCTAGCCCCAAAGATTCACCCCACGCAACTAATCGTTGAAGGTCGTTTTGAAGAAGGTGACAGTCAGAGATGGATTTTATGCGGAGAAAGATTTTCATATCATCAGCAAAGATAAGAAGTTTGGCATGCTGGAGGACGGAGACCGCTGAGTTTACGAATAGGGCAAACAGGAGTGGAGAAAGAACAGCACCTTGTGGTACACCTGAGGAGGGGGTAAAGCGGTCCGAAGAGGTGGAATCAACAGTTACCCATTGGATCCTATTTGTAATGTATGAGCGAAACCAGGAAAGTAATGGTTCACCGATTCCTATGGAGTCTAGAGTTGACATAAGATGATTGTGATCAACACGATCGAAAGCCTTGGAGAAATCTGTGTAGATTACATCTACTTGGCAGCTATCGCGAAAAGAATCATATATATATGAATGTAGACTAAGGTTACAAGTAAGAGTTGATCTACCAGGACGGAAGCCATGCTGCTCATCAATTAGGATATGATTCAAGGGAGAACGAATCGAATTAAGAACAAGCGTTTCAAATATTTTGGATAAATGAGGGAGGATAGTTATGGGACGATAGTTTGAAACATCAGTTGAATCACCAGACTTAAGTATGGGTCTAATAGAGCCAAGTTTAAGTGCAGACGGAAAAATACCCGAGTCAATAGAACGCCTAAACAATAACCATAACGGTTCAGCAAGAACAGATCGAAGTTTGTACAAGAAATCACCCTGGATACCATCAGGACCAACAGACTTAACATTGCGAAGGGAACATAAGCATTTGTAGACGTCACTGATCGAAAAATAGGAATTAGACGGGAGCGGAAAGAGGCAGATAGGATGTAATGTTTGGGATGGAGTCAGTGAAGGCTGGGTGAACACGGAGGAAAAATGTGCAGCAAAAAGGTTAGCAGTTTCGGGAAGAGATGTACTTTGTTTACCATGAAGTGAAACACATGAAGGTATAGATTGAAAAGAGCGGTTTTTTCTAATAAAACTCCAAAAGTATTGAGGGTTGTGTAATAGGGAGGATTCGGTACGTGAGACAAAATTGCGGTTGCATTGTTTGGAGATGAATTTAAATTTAGCGCGAAGAAGTGAAAAATGCTTGTAATCTGATAATAGCTGGGATGACTTAAACTTGGCATGAGCGCGAGACTTAGCAAACACTAGTTCTTTGAGCTCCTTAGTGTACCAAGAGGGGAAAGTGGAGGGAATACATATAAAAGAGTAGGTAGATATATATTTTTTGACACAGCTATCTACCAAGGTACATATTGAATCATATTTATTTATACTTACTTATTAGTAATTAGTAATTACCTTAATATGTTATTATTCTATTATGCCAAATTGACAAATGAAAATTTTATTAGCGTTCTACATTTTACAATTTTAAATTCAATAATGATGAAACATGAATAAATTTATTGGTTAATATGTATATCTACTGATATGATACACATTATAAAAAATTATTATTTTTTAGTAACAAGTAATAACTAATAAATTGATAGAAAAACAATTTATTAAGTGCAGGATGTTTGATTCTCGCCCATCAATTAATTATGTTGATCTAAGTAATTGGTCAAGTGAAATATTAAAATATTAATTTTATTGAAGGAAATTTACAACTAAGTCAGGCATAATACTGAAATTGAATACTGATGCATGCCGTGACACCGATACCCATGTGAAATATCTGGAACATGTACAAGCTGTAATTACACTCAATTCTACAAGACGTGGTGACGTTGAACTTTTTTTGACATCTCCGATGGGCACAAGGTAATTAATAGAACAACTATCTTTCATAGATATATTTATAAAAATTAAAATTAATTAGGTAACTTAATAATTTAACATAACTTAACAACTATCTTGCAATTATTATCTTTCATATCTTAATATTAAAAATGATATTATGTAGGAAATACTCTTAAGACATATCATTGAAATTGAGTAGGTAATTGTGGAATAATAATAATTAAGTAAATTTCTTAAATGAAGAAGATAATATCAAATATTTAGTTTGTACAAATAGCCCATATAGCTAGGTAGTGCTGGTGTCCCGCTTTCTTAATAATAATGTAATTTACATTATATTCATACACAACTATTAAACTCGGTCCTCGGGGGTGGAAGCAGAATGTTAAGTAGAATATAAACGCTTATAAACTGTAGAAAGTACGCATTTATAATATCGACATTACCGGTGTCAGGAGTAAATATCCTACGAATTATACCAACTCATTAAACATTAGGCATGATATAATGAAGTAACGTATGGGATCGGGTACGACAGTGAGCAATAAAGACACAATATACAAATTCCAATATTATAATAATACTTAGAAAATTACGCAGCAGATATCGGAAAGTACATACATTTAGGTACAATAATATATTTTGACGGAAATGCAACCACGCAGGACGGGCACTCGCGTCAAGTCCGTGGGCAGTAAGCATTTTCGAGAAGATTTCAGGCGGACCCAGCATCCGTGGGAACGATACTCATAAAAGGGGGCTAGAAGAAGTAGATGGTAGGCCGTAGACCTATATAGGAGAGCCTCGACCAGCCTACATTCAGACGTGATTTGACCAGACGAGCGAGAGCACCTTTACGCCGTCAGTCTTTTGATTTATTATTTTGGAATTAGAATAATTTTAAACAGTGAATTATTTGGACCTAGAAAATATTCGAGTTAAACCGATTATTTTTTGAACACTAAGAATAATTTTCTGAATTAAATACAGAGTAATAGTTTACCAGTTAAATTTAAAGTGTCTAAATTGAAAATAATACAATAAATTATAACACATTCAACGGTTAACAAGCTCATTTCAAAGAATACACCTCTTCCTTTCACCGAAATCTATAGTCGTCAGACCACTACAGTAGTAATTATAATACAGTACCTGTATTTTCAAAATACTGTTCATTGTTCAATTGAAATATGGAACAAATGTATACACATTTTTAAAATTTAAAACAATTTACTTATGGGTCCATTGATATTTATATAGAGTATCCAATAATAAATGTATCAACTCAATATTTTTATGAACACAATAATAACTTATAAGAAATAACGATACATTTTTAATAAATTTGTATGTTTATAGATCGATGATATTAAGTAGAAGGCCTAATGATGACGACCGAAGAGATGGATTTACAAAATGGCCATTTATGACAACGCATACATGGGGTGAATATCCCTGGGGCGAATGGATACTCGAGGTAATTTATAAATATACAAAATTATTTTACTTAAAAATACATTTACATAAGCTTTTAAAGATAAATTTTCAAGCCTTAGTTACTAAAATTAATAATTTTGTTATTAACTACAAAATATTTTCGAATTTTCGTGATTTTAACAAATTTTGTCAAAACTTGAACTTGAAATGCGAATAAAAATATATCACACACCTATGTGATCCACCTTTATCTTTTTTCTATTGATATTAAAACATTTTAGAGGAATTATGTATTATACTTTCAAGCATTTTTCTGAACAAAATTTTTTTTGTTAATCATGTTTGTGTTATCAACATTTATAGGAAACAAACATATAATATAGAAAAAAAAAATTCAAATGTCTATATTTTCATTGAGGGCTGACTCTCCTGGGTTTTATATACATTTATTTTAACTATGTAGTTTATAGAGGCTTAATTAACTCCAGAGCTTACGCTAAAGAAATATAAGAGTTGCACACACTGTTTGTTTTACAGAAGTAAAAAAATTTGATGTTCGCTTCGCTCTCACATAATGAATAATACATACTATCATACATATTAAATAATATTATATTATACGTCATAATATATGAATATTAACAATTAAAATAACAAATTCCTTTAATTAAATTTTAAAATGATTTTATTTTTTATGACAACCTCTTCATCAGTATCACCACTATCACCACAGTTTTAGAACCTTTGTATTCTCGTAGTTTTAATCTTTTGATAATCATAAATAAATAGGTATTTACTATAACAATGTTTTAATCATAATTTCTAATAATTTCCGAAATCAAAATGTCAAATGGTTACAAGCTCATAGACATAATATAAAATTAATTATTAAAAATTCAAATCATAATATTTTTTATGAACTGCACATTTAAATAAGAACTACACATTTAAATTTAGAACTGCACATTTTATGCATCACAAATACACATTAGCGCAAGCTCTGATTAACTCCTTATTTTGGTACCTAATTACGACTGACGAGATCTGTTTTGAGCATTATCAGAAATTAAATAATATGAAATTGTGATTTTGTACAGACAATATATTTAACATATTTTGTTGTCACTTGTAATATTTGACAATAATTTCGATTCGCAACGGAACCAATTGTGTGTACCTAGGGTCTTAACTTAGAACTGTAGTGTTTAAGTAAATTTGATACGTCGTATACTTATTATAGGCCAATGTAAGTTCCTACACGAGATAAAGTATGTAAAAATCACCGTGGAATATTTGAGTATGCATATACATAAGTTCCCTCACAAAATAAATACACCTCTGTTCGTAAGTTCCCACTCGAAAAAAATGGTAATGAATACAAATTTCTTTTCCATTTAGTTCAAGTCTAGGACTGACAACTTAAATGTAGCTTGTGTAGTTAAGATGTGTTTGTTTTTGAGTTGCATAAAAAAAGTCTAATCCAATTATTGATTGAATCAAATTCATATAATATATACAGTCGAAGCCGAGTATTAGATACACATTTGGACCAAGGTGAAATTGGTCAATTTATCGATGGTTTATACTTGTAGACTCTGTAGTAGGCCAGTCGGCCCCTAGAAATTTTGTTTCAATAACGTGATTGTATCAATTATCTGTATACTTAATAAGCAACTTCTACTGTATATTGCAAAGGTAAAGTCCACAAATTAAACGAATATAAAATAATAATAGTAAAGAATAAAAATCATGTTATATGTGGCTTATTGTGAAACACTTCACATAGTCATATATTATTTTAAAGCTGTAATCTGAAATTGTGTTATTGATATAGTTTTTTTTTTTGTATATTTATCGAGGTCTATAGCAATATGATGGTTTTTGAGACGTATATTTTTCAATTGTTTTTAAAACTTAAATTCTTTTTGGACAAACGTAAATTGAGCCCCGTATTTTTCAAGTACAAATTTCTATGCAGTAAATTGCACTAAATAAAAATATTATTTTGTATGATATTCATTTAGCATTACTCAGAGGACACCACGAGAACGCGACTATCATTGTCCACCAAAAATAATTTTTTGGTTTTCTTAATACTCGGTGGAAATTCGACAGATAAAATATACTTGTTTAAGATAAAGCAAGAAAATTATCTAAGTCCACCATCTTCAGCCATCGTAGTCATAAATCCATAATTAGAATAATTGCAAACATCTTATGGCTCTGAAAATAGCATTACAAACACATGTAATAACAATTCTTTAAAAATAGATCCGTTTGATGTATACACTGAACTTAAACCAACTTTTTGAATTCGTCTCAGCCAAGTTAGTAAAGTGAAATCAACATCCTATAGTTATGATTTTAGACCAAACATTTAAGTACCTAATATAAATAATAGATATCGATGAATTCAATGTCACTTAATTACTATGGGAGCAATTTACTAAACTCGTTTTAGAAACCGAAAAATCCATGGTGAAACTCTTTATAATATCTATTTTAGAAACCAAAAAAATCCAAAGCTTAATTTACTACAGTATTTTTACTACCTGCTCAATGTCTGCGCAATTTACAAGCGCCTTTATTTTTAATATATTAGGATGATAATGATACAAATTTTAATTACAATTATGCAACACAAAAACAAACTTTTTTCGGTTTTGAACTTACAAATATTTGACACGACTAACTGAAACATGCAACTAACTGCAAACCGATTATCTGGTATGTTTCGAGTGGTAACTTACCAAACTTTCACTTGTTGGGACTTACTACTTACGTTTGTTAAACGGACACATACGCTTGTGACGTCCACTTAATACATAATATCTGCAGACTGTAGTGTTATTATATATTATGGTTTAATAGAAGATTCCTCGTAAGCTTGTCTACTTTTATCAAATACCTACTTCAAATTTCTAAAACATCGGATATTCACTTGATTTTCCAAGGAGTGATTTTTTTTTTTTTTTTGTTGTACTTAATTAAAAAAATAAATAATCGTAGATAAGTACTTGAAATTCCTATTATAATGTTTATTTTATCATTTTCTATGTTTGATAACATTTTTAAATGATTTTGACTCGTTCAAGCTGTTTAAGAAAATTCTTAATTTTAAATTTTTTAGGTTTTCTCATAAATGTCAATAAAATGTTATTCGTTGGTTTCAAAGCTTTAAAATGTAATACAATGGTCCTGATATATTTTTACAATAGAAGTTAAAAAATACGTAATCACAATTTTTTTTACAAGCGTCTAAAGTTCAAATTATTACAAAATATATTAAATTAAAAATGTACAAATTATTTATTAGTTAAAAATTATTGTTTTAAACGTTCAACTTTTATAGCTAAAGATTGTATATTTAAAACAAAGTTCCACGTAGTAGTTCATTCTGTACCCCAAAAAAACCAAAAATACATAAACACAATTTTTCATAATTTATATAGTTATTTAACCAAGAATAACGATTTTAGATTTGTTGTTGTAATTTTAAAATATTATTCATGGATACTTGAAACTAATAAAGTATACTACTATATACAAATATGATAGTATGCAAATAATATTAAATCAACCTACCGTCTACTTCTACTGTATAGTAATAATAAATAATAAATAATAATATTATAATAAATATAAAAATAATATAAAATATCCTAGACCGATAAACAGTCTCCGCTTAGAATCGTTTTTCGTATACAATGATATTAAATATCTTTGAATTCAAAATTAACACTATCCATACTGCAGTGGCCCATTTGAAACCTACTACACAGAAAAACGTCACCCACTTCCCTGCTTTTTAATCATCCTATTATCTAAGAATTACAAAATATGTGTGTTAGGTATAAGTATTTTTCATAAAATAATTTTCAGTTAAATTATAGTACCTAGTAGGAAAAGTGTATAAGTACTAAGTAGGAAAGGTGATTAGATTTAAATTCCAAATACATCTTGTTGTATATTGTATAGGTAATGTTTGTTTGGTGGGGGGAGGGAGTGGAGCTGCTGACGGGTCTGTTTGATGAATATAAAGATAGCTCCCCAAGTCAAAATTTGAAATTGCGACTATGACACATTGTTACGCAATGATGTACAGAAACACTGACTATAATATCAAATTGAATTATGGACGTTATCGTTTGATTGAATCTGTGCTCAACCGGGTTGCAGCGATTTATACCTACTGTAGTACTGAACTGACGAATTCACCTCATACCTAAGTTCCCAAACACTCCCTTTACATCTTGATGGCATAAAAAATATGAAACATAAAATGTATGTACATTAATTATTATATACGAACACGCATATAGGAATATAATTACCACTGTATTTTATGTTGTACGTTGCAGGCGAAATTCAATACACCGAATCAGTTTTCACAAGGTACTAACGGCGGCGGGACACAGACGAACAATGGACAGGCATCTAGAGCGAACTCCGGGTTGACAGCTAAAGGGGACGGGTCGTCGGCAGACCGGGATTCAGGCGGAGAAGAGGGAGAGGAAGACGATTACGAAACAGTGCACACGGGTTTCCTGAAGGAATGGACACTGATGCTGCACGGAACCCGGGAACCGCCGTACAGCCAACTGTCCGTCCGAGATCCCCATTCTAAATTGGCAATTGTCAAGAAAGCGCACACCATAGCTGGACCCGACACTACCGCATCACCGCAGAAGCAGAGCGCATATTAGGTTTACAGAAGCTGAAATTAAGACACCAATGAAATAATCAATACGGGAATATCGCGATTGTCATTTACAAACATATACAATTATTAATCTATTATTATAATATTATATACATACATATATAATATATATTATATTATATTATAATGATTCCCCCAACAACAGTCCCTCATATTATTATATTGTCAGTGTGACGCGTAGACGTATTACATATTATATTATATTATATTTTTCAAAGAATCTATTCCCATATTATATATTTGATTTTATCTTCAAATCATTTACTCCAATTAAAAAAAAAATATTATATATCTTATGATTAGATGATTATTAACAATTGTCCTATTATATTATACTATATAATTTTCATCAAAATATACGTATATATTATAGCCTCAGTAATTCTAGTCTGAGTTAACGCCAAATAAGTATTAATATTATTATACATATATTAATTATTAATTATATATGTAGGTATAATTTAGAATACATGTATAGGAACTAAATTATCTTATTTTAAGTACCTAGAGTTACCTAGCTAACGCCTATCAATATACACGGTACCTATATATTTGATTTTGTTATCCTTATAAGTTATATTGTCCCAACCATAAGTATAAAGTGGTTAGACACCTATTATAGCTTTAAAACTACTTTTAAGTATAGGTACTGGACCAATCAAGTGTCTAAATCTTTTTTTTTTATAAATTTAATAACTTTAATAGTTCTATTGATTTCAATGACTTGTGAACTATGAAGTACCTATACTACTTTTCACAATTGCAGAATTAATATTATTCATTGTTGTATCTATTTCAGTATTTCACTATGATTACAAAAGATTCATTGTTAATTAATATCTTGAAATTTTTTCGACTAAGTATATATAGAAACACTTATTTGTACCTTTTTATGTTTAATCATTAGTTTTTAATTTTAGTAAAAATTACAATTTAAACGTATTTAAATGGTTGAACTATGTAATGATTACACAATTGTACGGTCTTGGTCCATTGGTCGATTAAAATAGGACCGAGTGTCGACATTTATAGGCAGTGCATAGAAAAAATAGTAAAGGTACTCCGAGTGACAAGTAGGTAAGTTTCAGAGATGTCTATGCAATTAAAATTACTGAAATATTTACCTAAAAAATCGATACATAGCCAATTTTGGTATGCACTGTAACATTAAAAAAAAAAACTGTTGGACACCAAAATCATTATTTAAAAATATTTATTACTTAGCTATAACTAAAACAATTTATCTATTTACCTAACTCAATGCAAATTTAAAAATTATTAAATTATACATAGGAGTAAAAATCAGTCATACAATTTTACTGATAATAAAATAATAAAACACACACGTGTTCCCCCCCCCCTACAGTCCCAAACCCTATAGTACCACAACCTACAGCTAATGGCCTCAGTTGCCGAAGCTTAAATCAAAAAAAAAATAATAATAATAATAATAATAAAAAAAACACCAGAAATCAATATTTTAAATTTTATATTGGAATACATGTAATACACATACGATACATAATAATATATATGTATATCGGATGTATCTTACGTCATTGTACTCAGTTTTTTTTAACAATTTCGGATCGGTGATATAAAATTTCGAAAAAAACTAGAAAATACTTTATTTCAACATTTTTAAACACGCAGTTGTACCTATGTCACAAGCAAAACAATTTTATTTTTTCAAATGGTAACAACTATATTTTTAATGAATTCTGGTAAAGCTTTTTTTTTAATTTTGATAATTAAATCATCAATTTTGGTTTACCAGTTTATTAACTATGATCCCCTAAAGATAAGTGAATGCATAAATACTTTGAATTTAAATAATTAGTATACATCTAATTTACGTATACAAGAGCTAAATATTATTTTCTTTAAACTATCTATTTATACACTTAAATCGTTAATCTAATGGCACAAATTTTGGATAAATGCCTACAAAATTGTTGAAAAACATAAATCATTGTTTATATTTTAACATGCAATCATTAAATTAAGTATTATTATCGAAATTTATTATTATATTCGTAATTAATTAATTACTTAAATTTTTTCTTCGCAGTTACTTCCTTACAACATATACAGTCACACACGCTGACGTGTACAAAATAATGACGGCCTAAAAACGCTCAGCCTATCAAATTTACACCACGATGACGAGACACTAAATGTCGACGAAGACCACCTGAGCTGCAGTTTCGCGGCGCCGGTGATGGTGGATACGATCAATGACAATTGACGAAACATGTGCGTTGGGTCTAACTCTAGAACAGCGGCGACGCACACACGCAAACACTCTCCGTTCCTACTGTTTCTAGCATGACGACAGTACACATCACGGCACCAACAACAATATCACCAGGTCACAGGAGCATTCCTGAAAAATACGCTGACAACAGTTTGCTCTGTAGCGGGACCTATGATTTACTGGGCCGGTACCTACACTACACAATACCCTCTCGGTTAGGTTAGTCATAATTTCCTCAATCCTCCTCTGCGATATCAAATCGATAAATTCACAATTACCTTTTTTTTTACTTTTCCAAATTTACTGTATATGTATACTATATTATATTGTCGTTACGGCGTTATCGACGACGTCACACCACACATGTGCTGGTGGGAGGGGGAGGGGGAGGGCTTAGTGAGGCTTATCCCCCCCCCCGTTTATTATTTTTATTATTTAAGATTTAATAATGATTTAAGCATAAAGCATGATATAGTGAGATACATCCTATGCAATATAACGTAGATAATTATTCATAAGTCAATTGCATAATGCATAAATATAAAATATTATAGCTTATTATTAGGGTTGGGTATACATAGTTAATTAAGAAGATATCAGCGCCATGATTGTTTTCTTTCTCAGACCCACGAGCAACATTGATTAAAAGCTTTCAGCTAAACCTAAAATCGTTTTTTAAGATTTTTGAGTAGTGTTTCTCGTTGCTCCATGACAGTATGACACTGATATGTCTTTCCATTCGGTTATCGGCAAATTGACGGTCGGTCAAGTATGATCAAGAGTACACGCCAGCCGCCAGGTATATCGTATGTGGCAGTTGATCAAGGAGTTTTATGAGGAATCCTTTGAGCCAGACTTTGTCAAAAACTTGGGCTATGTCAAGGAATACTCCACAGCAGTACTTTTTTCTTCAAGAGCTTAACTAATCACATTAGTAACTCTATGTACTTGATCGATTGTCAAATGCTTGTTGCGAAATCCAAACTGATGTTCTGGTATAAGATTTTCTTCCTTCTATAATCAAATATTAATAAAGAAAATCAATATTATAAGAATACTCATCTGAACATACATTTCTTTGAAATGCAAAATGGTGAAAAAAAATGTCATAGATGATCCTCTTCATATTCCTCCCCCTGTAAATACGACACTGAATTTGACCATCATGTTTACTTATGGTCAGATAAGTACAGTCCATGAAAACCTAGATATTGACAATAGAATAAATTTTGTTTATTTCAAATGTAAAAAATTATAAAATTAACTTCATATACCTACATAGCAGGTACATACTGTATTTGAGTGGAATAAGTACAATCATACCCAACGTGACATGGACAATTCTCCTCCAAAAATTGTTCAAGGATATAAGGTGATTATATTTTATTCAGATTTAATAAGTAAAGATTCAATTTCACAGTATTTTTTTGTAAATTCAAAACAACAGTTATTGTAGTTAAACTAAGCCATAATGTAGGTACAATCTTAAGATCCCACGCTGGTCCTCCATATTATGAAGATATTGCATTCAAATTGTCAACAGAGAATGGGAATATTCATACAAAAGAGGATTTGGCTGTCAATATTTGTCATCTATATTTAATTTCAATACATATAGAAGATAATTTAAATTATCTTTCTATTTTTTATCAATATGTACATAAATTAATTAAACTTAAACTTATAAGGCATTCATTAATGTATTCATTCTTTAAAAAAAAAAAACTAAATCAGTACTCTATTGAATATTTTGATCATGTTTTTTAATGACCATTAATATAGGGGTCAGATACGACAATGATAAAAAGCCATAAGAATAGTTATTAATATATAAATTGAAATATAGTATATTATAATATTAAATAATAAATCATAAAAATTTTACAATTAAAAAAAAAATATGTAATAGATTATCAAAAATGCAGCTGCACTCTCATATAGGGACATGTGTAGTAAGCGTTACCGAGAATATTGTGTACGAACACCAAAATCTGTGGGGACGATACTGTTATCGAAAAAGTTTGGAAAAGTAGAGGGTAGGCCCAAGCAGCCTACATTCAGATGTGATTTGACCGAGCAAACAAGAGCGCCTTTACAACAGTCAGTCTTTTAATTTTATTACTCTGGACTTAAAATAATTTGAACAGTTATAATTTTAGTTTGAGCTTTGAAAATAAACGAGTCAAATTGATTTATTGTCTAACACTTAGAAATTATTCACTGAGCTGATTAATCTATACATCCATAACAGATACAATTATAAATTGTATGTGATTAATTTGATCATTTATCATACAAAGAATACAATAGTCATCCAGTCTTTGTAATTTAACAACAAATACAATTCATCCTATTCCTTGAAACAACACCTGTAAGTAAAAGATCACAACAATATTTACCTTTTATTGTAATATACATAAAAGTATTATTATTTTTATTATTATACAGGTATAAGAGTAATAAAAGAGATTAAATAAACCACAATAATGGTTTAAAATTTAAAATATTACCAGTCTTACAACTGAATTTTTTTTATTATCTCCTATTACAAATCATACCCCGTTGTTCTAACAAATTTAAGTTTTGGCCTATCTATGAAGCTATACCCATCTTTAGTTTGTTCTACCACTTTTAGATGATCAGCTGTCCAGTCCATATTTTATAAACAAAGTACCTATACAGAGCAGTATTTACAAATTAAGATTATAAACATTTATGTAGAATTTTACTAATTTTCAATACATTGAAAAACATAAGTGGAAGCAAAAAAAAATGTTTTCATCTTCTTTTACTTTATTTTTAATTTGTTAAATACATATCTTTTACAATAAATTAATTATAATAAAAAAAAATACCAGTTAAAATGTACAGCTGATTTATGGAATCAATGTAATATTTTAATTGTATACAATATTAAATTTAAGTAGAGAATTAAAATCAACTATGATAGTTAAAAATGATGAATGTAAAAATATCACTTTGTTTTTGTAAATGTTAATTTTTTAAATTTATCTTTAATGTTACATTACACTCATCTTCTTTAAACTAAAATACACTTTAGTATACATAAGGTCTAATAATAAAAAATGATTAAATGGCAATAAAATAAAAATATACCTTATATGTCTGGATTCTATATATATATATAACAACTATGTCTACATTATATATAAAATTGAGTTAGAAAGAACATAAAATTAAATTATAATGAACAAAATAATTCACAGTAGTATTATTAAAATATACAACTAATTTTTACTTTTGAAGTTTCCCTCTTTGGACATGCTTTAAATTAACTTCAAAATAAATAAATACAGAAATACATAACATACAAAATGAAATAAAATTTGATTTTTTAAAATATACAAATGTACCATTTAAACTATAAAATAGTCATAACATAAATTCAATTAACCTTTATCAAAATAAAAATTAGTACTCAGAGTTGGGTAGATATGATTATAAAATGTCATAACCATTATTTATAATAGAATATGTCTTACTCAATTAATAAAGGTATAATGAATTTTTAAATTTTGATTAATATAAAAAGGAATAATAGCATGTTTGACAACAAGTCAAGATTTGCTTGAACCAGTGTTACATTGGAATATTTTCATCATTCATTTAACATGCACAGCTAAAAATCAAAGGGAAATAAAAATAGAGTTTGAACTATCAAGAACTTTTCATAAGAATAGTGAATCTCATGTATTATATTTGTCAATATTCAAATTATAGTAGTTCCACCGATTATTAAATGTTTATTTTGACAGAAACATGAATTATTTTTATTTTTAAATAATTTATAAGCTACTATGGCTACTATAAATATATTTGACTAGATAAATTATGATCATGACTTTATATCATTAAAAAAACACCCTTAAACCCTACCATAATTAAACATTTTATTTTTTTAAAGATAATTTAAAAAAATTATGTTTAGCCCAACTCCGGACTGATACTTTATTGACTGACTAATTCTAGTTGACTAATTCAATTTATTAATGGTGACTGTTTATGATAAAACACTATTATTTTCAGTATTCACGCCACTATTCCCTGTGCTACTATGTTGAACTTGTTGATGATTTTGTACACTTCCACCACTAGATGATACGGGTGTTAATCCTGTTCCACCGTCCATGAGCGAATCAAAATTCAATACTACTACACCCGTAGAACCATTTCCAGATATTTTTTTAGTATTTCCAAAATTACCATTATTGAGTTGCAATAGTGTAGTAGGTCGTCTTCTTTGAGACTGCTGCATAACAGAAGTAGGAATAATATTTATGGAATCCTTATTATCAATATCAGTTTGTATTATAGAATTATCTTCACGCTTTATTATAATATCATCAACATTATTACTATCATTATCATTGATCACTATGTTTGTACTAATGTTTTGTTGTAAAGGATTTCCCTTAATTGATGATAGGTGATTACTTAATACAGTAGGTTTTGTTTCAGAAATTTCATTTGAATCTAATATTGTAGAGGCATGATTTACGGTAGTAATGGAATTTGATAACTGCACATTGTTCATGTTTACAGCACACTTATGCTGAGCTAACATCTGTTGTAGGTCAGATTTCTGTTGACGAAGGCCTTGGATTTCCACTTGTAACCTCAACCTCTTTTCTTCTAACTGCCCAGTTTCCTAAACAAATATATAATATGACAAAGTAAATAAAAGGTATACAATACAATTTTATAGAAATATTTTAGGAATGTGAACATTTACAGAATAATCACTATTAAAATGTATTCTTGTACCTGAATAGCTATAGGACATCACAAACTTATATATTTTTCTTGTTCTTCAATATGAAAATTAATATACTTCAACAATTTCAAATTTAAAAGAAATTACAGTAAAACCTCATTAATTCGGACTTTGTTTAATCCGGACAGCCGTTTATAATACGTAAATTACGCTAGTTTATGCAGTAGATTAAAATAAACACGAAAACAAAGTATAAAAAGATAATGTAAGAAAATTTGTTTTGAAATTTAATGTAGAAAAAGAAACCAGTGTTGTAAAAAGAATGCGGTTGCCACTAGATCCATCCCTTGATGATGCATTTTATCCAATAAAAATTTTTTTGAATTTATAATTTACGATTTTTGATTATTTTGTTTAATCCGGACTTTCATTATTTCGGACAATCTAGAGCCCCAATTAGGCCGAATTAATGAGGTTCTACTGTACGATCATAATTCTATTTTATCACTTACAAAATAAAAATATTGAAAAATAACTAAAAATTAAATTATAATAATTTGAACTTTTACATTAACCTAAGACCCATACTGCTTCTATATTGATTTAAAATTAAAATAAACAAGTGATGTCCTATTAAAAACATAATATTTTGCTGTATACCTCTAAAAGTTCATTTGTATGGTCCATTCTGCGTTTACGACAACGAGCTGCCGCCAGCTTATTACGTTCTCTCCGGACCTGTCGACGTTGTTCTTCTTCAGCTGACATCTAAAAAATAGTAAGGATAAATAAATAATCCTATGTACGCTAAATATCTATGAAGCTATGGAATATTTATTAAATTATCAGTTTAAAAATTATAAAGAGGAGATTTTAACTCACCATTTTGTTGTCTTTATTATTAGTTCGACGACCACCGCCAGTACTATTCTTGAATTCGTTTTTAATACTGTTTTTTGAACTTGATTTGTTATTTTTAGTATTTCGTTTGAGAGTTGTTTTACTAGATGTTGTATCGCTACTGTCTGTTCCATCATCAGCTATAGAATCATAATCATCATTATCTTCATCATCTTCATCGGTGAACTGTCGTCTCGTTACATTTTGTGCTCCATTTTGAGGTCTTTGGGTAACTACCGCTCCTTGCCAGTGTGAAGATGATGTTGAAGTAGATGAACCTTTTGCATTAAATATAGAGCTTGAACCAGAACTGTTATTGTTGTTTAATAAGATTGTTGTACCTATGTAAGAAAAAAAACGTATTAGTTAACTAATAAATGTAATACGTATCAAGAATAAATAAAACATTTTTGTAGGATCATATACCTGATGATTGTTGAACACTAGGGTTGCTAGAATTGATTTGCAATACTAGTGGAGGCACAAAACCAGCCTGCCTTGATGCAGCCGCAGAAAAAGAATTATTATAATCATTACGCTGTTGTTGGTTTAAAGTGTTTTGATTTACATTTTGCTGGTTTTGTAAATTATTGAGACTAATTTGTTGATTATTTAAGCTTTGAAGACTTATTGTTTGATTGCTTAGATTTTGAATACTAACACATTCTTGTAAATCAGTGCGATCAGTAGGCTCTAATGTTGATGTGTTTATAGAAGAACACGAAGACGACACAAGGTGATGTAAGTCGGAAGCCGCAGCTGCAAAATTTTCAGATGGGCCAGGTGACAAACCAGCTATGTCAGCAGCTATGGTACGAAGTGTAGTTGGTGTTAAAGTTGGAGTTGTACGTGTAGGTATACCACCACAATTGAGACCATCCAACTAAAGAAAAAAATTAAATAATACAAATTACATGTGTTTGTCATATATTGACTATTAATGATATTGACAATTTATTTGAATAATATATAACATAATCAAGAACATTAAATTTCAATACACAAATTTCAAAAATACAATTTTTTACTTTAACACAATCAGAATAAGTGATGTTCTATCAAAATGTTGTATAATAATCCTTTATCCAATAAAAACTTTCAGACTTAAAATTAAGTATGCATAGGACAACAATATTTAATTTATTACAAATTATATATTTCCATTAAAAAAATCTCATCAAGTACTTAATACAGAATAATTTAAATTATTATTTATGATTTAAATTTATTGTTGAACTTAATAATACAATATATTTATATATTATATAAGTAGGTAATTCAAATTTTATTATTATACAAACACTCAATAATTTATGATCTCAACTCTAAAGTTTAGAAGTTAACCCATTATATGTCTTGTTTATGCAAGGGGATACAACAATATAACATTGTTAAGTAGTTTTTACAATTCAGATTTTATATTATTGAAATTTTGTATAAAAAATTATTTATCTCACAATTTAGAAAATTTCAAACTGTAAAATTTGAAGAATAAGTTTTGATACTTAAATTTTGTTACAAAAGGAAAAAAAGATGATTTTATTTTTTAAAAAATGTCATGCAGTCGTATTAAAATTGCACATTTACATTGTGCTGCAATTAAAACGATATACTTGATAATGTGTATTTTCTTTATTATACTTATTCACATCAACCAGAACAACTAGTTCAGATAGGCTAAAAAGTTGATCATATCAAGAGTTTTCAGTAATCTTTTTCTTTTACGTACAACTATATTATAATTTATAATAATAATAATAAAATGTATGGATTATTTTTTTAACCGTGTAGTATTTTGATAAAAACAAATTTCACATTTATTTTTATTTTTTAATTCCCTTTAGTTGAGTTTATATCTATTTAATAATAAATAATAATTAATAGTAAAATATCTATGTACCTAAATCATTTATAATTTCAGAGAAAAATGTATTGCCTATATTTACTAGGTATTAGTCACAAATCACAATAAACATATTTACTATAGGTATTAAAATTTATATAGGTACCTAATTATTATTATTATTATGTATTCATACCTTTTAATATATTTTATGTTTACTTTCAATCAACAAATCCTAGGGAGGCTGGGATTGAAAATGTCATTGTTAAATATTGATACTTATATGTTTACAAACCATGTCGATAAATTAAACTCTTTTACGCTTTACGGGTTCACCCGCGGGACTACTCCCGGATCCGGAATCGTTAAAGTAAGTACACCCTAAACGATTTTACAGTAGGTAATAATAATAGGTGCCTGATTAAAAAGATTTAAAACATCTAATATACAATACTATATAATAACAACCTTGTGCATGTCGCTAAGGAACGACGGCGTGGTAGAGGACGGCCGTTTGGATATGTCATCGTTTAACGTGGTGTAAATGCTGTAGCTGGCGTCCAACTGCATGATTTGCCAGCTACAAGAACACGCGCCAACAGGGTCCAGGCAATCGCGGCAAACGGACGCGCTCGAATCGTTGTAGATATCGGACGAAGGTACCATTTGTGCGGGTTGAAGCATAATATTTTAAAAATGAACCGTCAAAATTCGTGTCCGTTTTTCGATTGGTTAGTATAAACGGTACGGTTAATAAAAAAACGTCGTATTAGGCGGGAAAATCCAAAAGCTCCGGGGAATCGGACGGACGAACACCACGATACGATTGCACACCGGTGTAGTGTCGACGCGGAAGACGAATGCTACGGGGCAATCGACTGTCGAGTCGAGACTTCAAGAGTACACTGAATGACTAAAAAACGTCCCGCGTAGTATATTGTTGTGGCGCAGTGGGTGACGGGTGCAAGCAATAGGAGATACTTCGGACGGAGTGGGAAAACCGTAAAGTTATTTCATGGACGGGTGAGGAGGGCACAGTGTGTATCGTTGGTGGCGGTACATTGTGAATGGAACTTTGCGTACGCTCGACGACCGCTATCCGCTCTACCGCCACTACTATTTCAACGGTACCACCAACCACTTGGTCCGCCGCCGATGACGCGCCCAGTAAATCCGGACAGCCGCAGCCGCATGACTCACCGGCAAACGGATTTACGTCACGACGACACGATTCGCGATCGTTTGTCGTCTTGTGCTGCAGACACGCGCAAGCATAATAACATAAATTATTTTGAAGTACGGGTAACCGCCGCCACTAACCACGCACACGCAGTCAGCGATTATATATTTTTTTCCTAGTATCCTCGGAATCGTGTATGAGTCAATGGTAGATAATGATTAATAATACTATTACCATCGCGAGTGGCGTATGCCGTTTACACACGCGCACCACAAACCGGTAGTAATATTAATAAAATAACATGATCGACAATAATCGTACATCTTAAATGTATATTATATTATATTATATTATAATACATATACATTTTAAAACTAATACACAACTCTTCGTTTTACTTACATAATAGTATAATACTACCTAACTTTATTTTTGATCAATTTTTTAAAAAAATCATACCTACGCACGTAGAATATGTACCGGGTAGAATTTATTACGTGGTCTGTATTATAATATGGTTAGGATTATTTAGGCTAGAATATAGGGATCATAATACTGTGTTGCACGTACAAGTCACTATACGGTCGATTATAAAAAATATTTTAATATTGCGAACTAGTCAGTTTACGTCAAATATTATAACGAACAAAAAAAAATAATCGGCGAATCATTATGTGTTTACTGATTACTAGTGATTAGTGATTATCTATAGGTAATGAATATTATATTATTATACCTAATATTAATTATTAATTATTAAGTGACTCATTAGCAAAGATAAATAAACTTAACTGAAGGGCCGAAGAACCGCGAACTATTATTTACATAGGCTTTATTATTTATGCATATAAAATATACTTGGGTACCTATATTATACTTAATACTAAAAATTCTAATTAAATGTGAGGAAATAATTTTATATTTGGGAAGGCTTAGTTCCATAAGCCCTCTCGGAGCTCCACCACTCCGGAAGTGTTAAATTATTGTTTAACTTTTGAAGTCTTATAAATACTCTCAACATTTTACGAGCATAACCGATATTTAGCTACATTCCATAACATTAGCTATGAAGAGCTATTCTATGGAAGATTTTCATGATAAATACAAATATGGAGGAAATAAAATGCGAAAACCCCGATAACTTCAAATATCTATTAATATAGTACAACAAAAAAAGGTGATAATTTTTTAACAATATTTATCCGGTATGTCATTCTAATAAATGTTGCATAAAAAATATATTCATTTAATAAAATTTAATAGATCACTAGATTATGCATGGAACCATTAGCTCACTATTGGTTCATTAAATGTTTAAACTGTTTAAAGGCTGACAAATTGCTCAGAATCGTATTTTGTGTACAATTATTTATCGTTGAATTGAAATTTAACACATCCATTACAATGACCTTAATCAATTTCGAGGAACAATCAACACCTATATTATACGACAGAACAATTTTCCCGGATATTTCTTAATTATATATATTTATTTAATTATTTACTTCTAAATTTGAATCTCCAACTAAAACAACTAAATCCAATTTTTTACCTGACATCACCCTTAAATTTAAAGATCGAAGCATTTTTACTGTTCCTATAAGGTCTAACGGTTGTATGTCTTACAAGGAAATAGGTACACATCATTGTAAAACCAATACATTCACCGCTCTGCTCTGTAGAATATAGAATACGAAAAAATATTACCTTTAAGAAAGTCATTGTATACTTATGGTAGGCATGTTGTGGGACTAAGGATACTCGAGGATTAAAAACTATTAAATTAAATTTTAAAGAAGTAGTAATTGTTTCTAAAAATAAGGATAGGTTCTAATTTTAAACGCTTCTAAACATATTGAATTTTTATAAAATAAGTACTTATTTTTTCTGATATTTATTAATTGGTAATTGAACAACTTATGTATTACATTTTCAACATTTTTGACCAAGTGGTGAAGCTTTTTATCGACATTTATGAAAAAAAATCGAAAATGCTTAATATTTTTAATCAACTGAAAAAAATTCATGATATTTTTATCATTTAATCATGTTGAAAAATTTGAGTTACTGCTACACCAAAAAAACAAAATCAACAAAAACTGTTATTGCATAAAAATTCCCGTTTATCCTAAATTGTTTGTTGTTTTCCCAGTTCTTTGGAAAAGTAGGTACTAGATACTATTAAGAAATGAAATGAATTTCTAAATAATTAATTTTTTTATCTTAAAAATAAAATGTATACATAGTGAAAATAACAATATCAATTTAAATATATAGTTCTATTATACCAAAATATCTATCCACAGTTTCATTTTTATAAAAGTTAAATCAAAATACTTCTTTTAATACTTAAAAGCACCAATTGTTTTGTGAATAGAGTTGTTCGTGATATTTTTACTTACTAATATCAATGATTAAAATAATATATTTATAGTATATACACTTCTTAATTATAAATGGTATCTGATTATTTTCATGTAAATTGTAAACATTAGATAAAGTTCAAAAAATGTCTTATACAAATATAACATAAATTATAGGTACCTGTTATACTCAGGTACAGTGTCATCTTGTTATCGACTTGAAATGGTTGAAAAATATATTTAAATGTTTTAATTGGAAGTACTTATCTATAGCTTTTTTTATACTGGTTAATTATTATTTACTGTAAGACATTATCGTAATATTGTTAGACAGTTTATCATAATTTATGACCAATGATAAAGTTATTTAATAGGTGCAAATACCAATTTACTGAATACATACATGTATAAGTTTATATAAAAACAATGTCATGAACTCGTGACTTCATTATTAAAATAAAAAGAAACATTCAAAGTAATATACATAAATATAATACATTTATTTGTAAGATTTTAAATACAATTTTTTCGAAATTTTTATTTACTATGATATTACTTATCATGAAAAATAAAACTAGGAACAATCTATTTTTATTTATTACCCCTTTCTATTTAAAATACAATACTCTTTAATAAGACAACTCATATATATTGATATTATTTTAGACAGTAATATTGCGACCATTTAGGCACATTGAATGATATATAATAATTGAACAATTTATTTTCCGGAAAATAAGTTAATACTAAAATATTTATATGAAACCATTTGAAAATATGACAGTAGACACACTATCTTTCGAAATTGATGAGATTCTTTATATTCATTTTCCCACAAAAAAAAAAAATATAGACAATTTTCCTCCATAATCAAAATACGAAATGTTCACTCTCTTAATTTAAATGAATAACAACTATTTTTGCATTCTAGCAAACACTATCGTTCTATAAATTGTTTTTAATAATTTATAAATTATAACTATAAATTATAATAACTTCAAATTAAAATATCATAAACAAATTATCGTCGATTTTTCAATAACATATAATATTTAATACGTTATATATTTAATACTAATTTAAAAATACAAATCATATAATTTCATAATTTCGTACATAATACAAATAAAATAAAAATGTTTGTCAACTTACCATATTTTAGTTATGATTAAAAATGTACAACAGAGAAAAAAACTGTATCTCATTTTTGAAGGAAAATGATTTTGATGCACGAAAATATAACCGGGTATCAAATTATGAAGTGTTTCTTTTCAAATTAAAAATATTATATAGCCTATCATATTAATTATTTGCTATTTAAAAATAAATAAAAATTACAATTGGAGTAGAACCCTAAATTCTATCTCTCCCATAAATTGAAGATCAAAAAATGCAAAAATTGACGTATTATTGATTTTTTAATTAAAATATATCATTATTAATTTAGCTTGAGTTAACAAAATTCAGTAATTCAAGAATTGGTTGAAATAACAAAAGGCAACGATAAAATGTATGTAAACAATTTAAAAAACAAAATAAGCGACATGATTTATGACTAGGGCACGCAATTTTTATGCACACATTTTAATTCAAAATATATAAGTTATCATTATATCAATTTTTAAAAAATAGGTACGTGTTTAAGACACAAAATAGTTTTTATATACTAATAGTTTTAAATTTTTTAATAGTATAAAAAACAAATGAACCAACAAGAACAACTAGTCACTAGATTGTGTAATCGATATGGTGATATAAAAAATCGTTGCCAATTTTATCTTATTAAATTTATTACAACGTTATCTCTAATCATAATTATCATTAATATTATAATAATAATTATCGACGCTTTGAACATATTCAAATATTCCTAACAGGTTAATGATTAAATATATGTCGATAAATTATAAAACTCAAGTATTGATTGAAAACAGTGTGCATTTTTTTATTTTATGTTTTTGTCCGAAGATCTGTGGGGAGAGGTTGGAGTATTTCAGTACTTTTCTTTATAATTGAAAGAAATGAAAAATTTAAAAAATATAGAAACTAATTTTTGACAAAATCGATTTATAATGTTGTTATAACGCAAAAACGAATAACTGTACATGCTTGAAAGATGTTCACTAAATGTTTATACTAGCATTTTCTGTACATTGGATACATTTTTAATATTTTGACTTTATTTGAGCTACTTAAGTATAGTCATTTTAAATTGTTATGCTTCGGCAAAGCGCTTGAACATTTAATATAAGATTCCACACATATTGTTCTTTAATCAACTTAAAAATGTCAAAAATATGCATGATATGATTTTTTTTTAATGAGCGTTTGAAGTTTAAATTCTGATAAAATTTGTTAAATCATAAAAATGCGTAAATTAAATAAAAGGTTTTTCAATTCCGTATTAGTAGTTCTTACTGAACTAAAAAGTCTTTTTTTTATAAATATTTTAAGTTCAAATTTTGAGGTAATTGGACATTAAAACAAGTCATAACGTTTTAAG